ACACGGGTGACATAGACTATAATTTATGGGGGCCAAGACGCGATAAAAGTACCAGTTAAAATATAAAATTAGAGCAACGTTATATTATCTAATAAAATACATCATATTATACGAGAGTTGTGCTCATTATGCGAGTGTTGCATTAATTAAGATCCACTAAACGACCTTGCTGTCGCATGCATTTTGTTACGTTCTCAACGTTCATTATAATTACAATACAAAGAGAAAATAACATGCCAATTTGTACCCTATTTCCTCAAACTTAAGAAGTACTTGATAAAAACGGATTCGATTATATTTGCCAACACTGAGTTGCAATTACACAATCTCGTTTGAAGCTGTTTCCGTTACATTGGATCTGACATTAGGATTTTTCTATCCTTTGTTTAACGCCTTTGTTTTAGAGCCTTGGCCTTAACACTTCATCGACCTCCCCCCTTATTCTTTAACTCTGGGAACTTCTGAGGACAATCGAAATAAACTGGCCACACAGCTCTGTGGGCAAACCGCTCGCGCGGTTTTGGTATTTCTTTTTTGATCCTAATGCTTACGTAATACGAAATAACAGTTTATCGATACGAGACCGAGTCAAAATGGAGTTAGTGCTGATTAATATTTCAAAATTGCGAAGGACTAATAGAAAATACGAATAAATTAATATGGGTCAGTTGCACAAACGTCCATCAAGGTTTAATGATGTCTTTAAGCTCTAATGAATGTCAAATTTGTATGTGTAATGTCTCTTTAAACTAATGTCGATTTTAATGGACTTTTGTGCAATTGATCGTATGACACATTGAAGTTGCTCATTTTTTCGGTGATTACATATTCAGATTATAAGTTGAGTAGCAAATAGGCTTGCTGGAGGTGAGATCGACTTGACCGGGGCTCTCCAATTACAAAGAATAGCGGTCTGTTGATCTACCTGACAAAACCCTCCGTTTCATTCTCTCACGTGGTCCGGATCTTGGTATCTGGTAAGGTATGTTCAAGACAAGCCGTAAGGACCAATAAGGAGGAAGAGAGGGGTTTTCTGCTATTGCTCATAAAGTCCTAGACACGGAATTGTCATCCTCGAGGAACTCTGACAAAATACTTTATAAATTATAACTTGTCCCCCGCGTATGATGTAGTTTTCCGTATGTAGATGAAATAATTATTAAAATAAGTCCAGTTTCGGAGCCTTTTCGTCGTTCCTCTTTATAGTATTAGTAGATGATTACCTTCATCTATGTACGATTGCAAAATACCTCCGTTATGAAGATTTAACATATATTCGGTGATTTTTACAAATTATAATTTATGTGCCGCACGTTTACTACAGGAAATCGAAATTCTGATTTCGAACGTAACTATCAATATTTCAAGGCTTATACTTGGTTATGGAACAGTTTTTAGAAGACATTTCACTCTTAATCTGAATTCTGATAAACACTTACATGATTTCAGTTTGTACCATTGTTCTCTGATCGTGTAATACATTAAATCGCTTACTGACGACACTTTAGACATTACTTAAAGAACACTTATTATTTATACAGTAAATAATCAATGAAATAAGAAACGTTGCATTGAATTGAGATCTTGTCTCTTCATCGTAGCAGGAAACAAGGGCAATCTATTCACATGTAAGGTTTCTGAAGGTACAGACAGATAAGAGCCAGATGCTAACAACAATTAACTCCAATGCATTATTTATAACAATGCCAGATTTAGACAGTAGGCCTACCGCTTAACTACAGTAGTCTTTAATTTGGTTAGAATGTATTTTTGATTCAATCAATAACAAACAAATCAAAGCCAGTGTCGTAAATCTAGTTAGAGTTGCAAATTTAGGCCCAATCATTTTTGCCGCAGTCAGACTGGTTTAATTTTACTAAAATTTACCTACACAGTCGTATTTTATTAGCGCGGGAACGTGCGAATGACCGGTTACTAAAGTTGCAGCACTGAATGAACCTAATTAATGTGATTGTTAACTAGCGGCAAATGTGTAAATTATGAGTAATGTTTATAGTAGTAGCTCAGCGACCATGGGTGGCACCAGGGAGTGGAAATTACAGTGTCATCTTAAGAATAAAAGTTTTAGTTAAAGTGATTTACATGATTGGCTGCTTACGGACAGTGTAATTGTTGCATTAGTTACGTCAAATCACTCCTATCGTATTGAAAAATTACCCCATAAAAGCTTTTTATCACCTTTCTATAGGTTCACTGTCAAATGAGTGACACTCTTAGTCACGTTACGCCGTACCTCAATGAACATTCTATCTTGAAAATGTCCTTTCGTAGGCATTTGTATCTCGCTTGTTTGTTTTTTGACCTAATTAAGTATAATGAGCCTGAATATCTATTTACGAAGCTCAAGTATATGCAGCCCTGTGACGGTTGTAATATGAGGTCGAGGCGTTTGTTGTTGTCTACACAGCAACACAAAACCGTAGCATTTACTGGCAGTTTCCGACACCAAGCCACCAAATGTTGGAACTACAACCCACCCCCACTTAGACTTTTGTGTAAGGGATCTTTCATGAAGAAACTGAAGGTGGAGTATCTACAGAGGCAAAAATTAGGTCTAGTAAATGTTTATTAAGAATTTTTTATTTCGTATATGAGTGTAATAATATTTATTTATTATTGTTTATATTTATTACATTAAATTATATGTATAATACATTGGAATTACACTGTACTCTCACTCCACATTCACTTTGATTTACGCTAGCGACCAAACGACGAGTAGGGTACAGCTGAAAATCAGTGTCTGTTTCCTATATGGAACATCCCACACTGAGCTGTATACCTCTTGGGCTACTGCTTCACACTCACGTACGGTGGTACGAATCGTTGTCTGTTTTAATTTTTATTGTTTCTATACACCAACTTAGTATTTTACAATAGCTTATAATATAGTGATAGTTAGTGGTTCGATAAAGATTTATCTATCTATCTTAATTAATATCGCGGTAGGGTTGATAACTACTACTTCTTAGCCGACGAGAAAAAGAAGAGGTTTTCAATTCGACTGTATGTTTCTTCATGATCAAATTTAGATACCTGAATGATGTCATATTTATCGTCGTCGTCGTCACTTTATTAACGTTGGTTGATGTTAGATGCTTTATAAGGTAATTTATTTCTTTCTGGCTAGCTCGATCAAACAAAATAAGTTGCCCCTTTGCTAAGTTATGTCAGTATCCTATTTCCCGTCTTTGAAATTAATAGCGAATTATTTCGACATAAGAATTACCACAGAATTACCTACAACATGTTAGATCAAATATCCCAAATATCATCTCCCACGTGACTTAAATAGATTAAATCTTTTGAAAACTAGACTTGTCTTGTCCCAGAAGATACGATTCAACTATTTATTATAGACTTCAGAGCATCATCAACAGTGCTAGTTAATATTGTAGTTTTATCAAAAACAAACACTTTTAAAGACCTACATCTATTCAATATTATTGTACAAAGGTTGACTATTCCTGATAGATAAGGCCAATCATAGTATGATTGTTTATTGAGATAAGAAAATATCAGTAACTTCAAGGCGTAAACAAACATATCTTTAGTGGGTACGAAAATTGATTTTAAGATGACTGAACAGTGAATTAGAGGAAGTAAGTTAGGACCTATTTTTTTTCTGAAGTAGTTAAAATAGCTTCTACATGGGGAGTATTTTATTACAATTGTTTAAATGATTTAAACAATCACAAATCTTTCTGAGAGTCGCATTGGTCTTAACTTGTTCCAAAGCAGATTTTACTGGATTTTGTTAGCGGGAATACTAAAGGAATGATAAAACACTATGGCACAATCTTAGAATTTAGTGCAGTTCTAATGCCATGCAATCTAAGTAAGAACATTGGCACATGCAAAAGCCGCGGCTATTTTCAAGGCTTTGTGATTTTTGACTGCAAAAATTGGTGTCAACCAATATAACTGTTTGTTTATAGCACGAATGTGTAGGTTAATGTTCGACCGACTATGACTCACGCTATGCGTCATTTATATAAAATAAATGCATTTGGAAGATACGAAACAGACTTTGAAGTATAAACGAGCGGTTAATTTGTCAGGTAATAAATTAAAACAAAGTGTTAATAGAAACAAAACAAAATGTATTGTTAATACAACTAAAGCGTACAGGTAAGTTGCGGCTACAGTGCAAAAAATAGTGTAACTTCTTGTTTACTTGTAACATTTGAGCCGTAATTGTTGATGCTGGTGTTTGCAAAATCATCACTGAACCTTTTGTAACCATCAGACGGCGAAGACGGGCTCCTCAAAGAAGCCATTTTCCGATACTGACTGATTTTGATTGACATTGACATTAATTGTCATAATGACAGAGCTGACATTGTCACAATCAGTTGTTTTTTTTTTCTTGAAAAGTAAAGAGATCGAGTCTATACAGCCTAATCTGATGTATTTTTTTTCCACAGAGACATGGTGATCGGTTAGTTATCCTGTGCTAAATTCGCAAAACACTTTTTTGTTTACTATTAATTCATCAAATTTTATTTATGAATGAATAGTAAAATAAATAGTAAATTAGTAGTAGACAGATATCATACTGTATATCTGTCGCTTGAAAGACTCATTCTCTTGGATAATGACGTAATATGACTCTCTGATATGCTACAAAAGAGGGAAGTTTCTTAAACATAATTTATAATCTCTAGATTTTTAAAATCTGGAAGTGTAAGGAATTGATATATCGATTAAATATACAAATCTACAGTTTGTTTCGGTATTCCTTATAAATAGTAATGATAATGAGGTCTAAAAAGTAATGGTAGAAACATATTTCGCTGTTTTTCGTAGTTGTTTCTTGTGTGACCCGCCAAAAGTAAATCGCTTTCATTCGATGTACGGTTAGAGATACATTTATGTGTAACAAATACTATAACCTTTTCATTTTAACATATGAAACAATACGTGACAGCAACAAAACATGACACAGAAATGTAGTTCCGCCTTAAAAGTAAACCTTGGCCTAAGACGTCTTTCGATAAATGGTATAGCAATGGCAACATAGCGATCGATCATAGAGTAATATCCAACTCTATGAAAGTTTCTTTTTCTTGATTCCGGTTGTTGTGTGAGTTGAAAATTGTTTTGAATCAAAATAAATCCAATGTAATGTGTTTTAATTTATAATTATTACGTGATTTTAAAGGCGAAATTAAAAGTTCTTTATATGCTCAACAATTATATAAGTTTATTTTCATCTGTTCCATCTTACTTTTACTTAAATATCACTACTTTGACATTCGAGTCAGTGATGTGTTTCTAGTGGTTACTCAGTTTTATTCTAAATTTAGTATAAGATAATCATTTATCTATTTAGTATTCCAGTTATAGAGCATAATGTAGCATTGGATATACTAAGCACTTGTGAAGTGTTAAACCTAACCTCTTTGTGTCAGGTGGCAGTTTGTTATTGAGGTTGTGTTTCTTTTCAGCAGAACATAAATGGCTCCACCACAGCCCAAGGCGGCGGCTAAGCCTGCCGCAGTGCCCGCGGGCGGAGTTAAGAAGGCCAAAGTCGGTAAACCAAGGAACTATGACTTGGGTAACGGAGTCGTACGCTTCTCCAAGGCAAAGATGTTTCACAAAAAGGTTAGTGAATATCTAGGTTATAACGTGTATACAAATTGTTCATTCCTGTTAATAAATGAAATGTTTGCATTTTGATGAAATCTGACTGACATTAGTTAAAAGCCTGTTATTTATAGGTTCATTTCTATCAAGTCTGCTACAAGATTTCATAGTGCTTAAACGAAAATCCACATGAACAAGTTTGCAGATGTGGATAAAATAAAAATATGAGTTTTGAAATAATTTTAAAGTTACTTTTTAATATGTATAGTGCTTATGGAATCAGTACAAAAACTATTCTTTGTACTAATATAAGCATCACTTTACATTTCGGTTGCCATTAGCTCAACTGTATACAATCTGAATATTCTATGCAGTAAATTTGCCTTTGATTCTAAAATTGGTCACTGGTAATTAAAAAACCTGTATAAACAAAGTGTATAAATTAATTGAAAGTAGGTAAATTCTGTTTATTTTATATAGTTTGTATGAATATGGTATTAAGGTCAATGTGATTGAATTGAATGATTAGTTGTATGAGAGTACATTATAACAACATTACATCATATTTAAGAACTCACTAAAATACTATACCACAAAACTAGGTATGTAAGTATATAAATTATCATCCTCCAGGCCAAGTACAAGTTTGTTGGCAAGAAGAATCCTAAGGCAGAGAAACCCAAGAAGCCCACTGTAGCAGTGAAGCAGATTGGTGGTGAGAAAAATGGAGGTACTCGTACTGTGCTTCTGCGTCGCAGAAAATCTTTCTATCCCACACAAGACAAGTAAGTTGAAAAATTACTGATTTTCTCTGTAGTAAAATTACAATGTGATATAACAAGATTAAAATTTAGAACTTGTGTTTATTCAATCACAAATAAGACTTGAAAGTGTGTCAGGAACCATCAATGTATTTAACCCGTCACGCGATTAAGTCACAAAACGCACTTGAAGCGTTTGCACACCTGTGTGTTCAAAAAATTGCGAGACGGGTTAATTCACCATACATTTAATTTTAATGGTAGTGCAGGACTAGACATTTTAGTGTTAATTGTACACTAATCATAAATGCTAAAAAGAGGTTATTATATATGAGATATTGTATAGACACCTGACAAAAAGTGCCTGTTTTGTATTAACAATTGTTTGAATTAACAATTTGTTAACTACGTATTTATTATAATAAGCTATGAACCAAATATACTCAAATCGGGCCTAATTGGCATTGACGAGCTAGCATCGCTTGAAATATAAAAAAAAGTTCTCCTTTATAATGTAGCTAGTGTCATGTAATTTAGGATGAAATGGTCAGAGAATAAAGAAAATTAAATCTGTTTATTCAAAAGTTTTTAAAATTGTATTTTAATTTTCCATATCATAAGCTGTTTAAGTTTGAGATCTGAATTTATAAATTAATGTAATTTATTATTACTTTTATTTTTTAGAATCGTGAAGCGATCTCACCATTTAACATTCAGTAAACATGTACGCCGTACTCGCCCCAATTTGACACCTGGTACTGTCTGCATCCTGCTTGCGGGAAGACACGCCGGCAAGCGAGTAGTGCTTGTAGCTGTTCTGTCTAGTGGACTACTACTTGTCACTGGACCTTTTGCTGTGAGTACTTCATATAAAAAAATCCTAGAGGCTACCCAATTTAGTTAATCATCACCACCATTACACTCATACCAATCACTATTATGTCATGAGTTTGAATTATGGCATCTGACCAAGTTTATAAAAGTAAATAGAAAAATCCTAAATTTTTTTTTTTTCAAGTAGACAGCATATATAAAATGGGTAATTTATATCTTACAGAATAATATAGTTGACTATTTGTTGTGGACTCTTTCCTTCTTTTTGCAAATCTGAGCAATTGCTGGGCTTAAAATCAGTTCAGTGGCTAATGCGTTTTTATTTACTTACTAAGGAATTGCCAAAATCTGTAAAATATACCCTAAATATTATACATGATAGTAAAATACCAACAACCTCAGAACTAGATGGCTAGGGCTTTGTAGATTTATTAATTGACTCTATGCGCAAATCTGTCCCTTTGTAATTCAGACTTAATGAGGCATTTTCTGCCAGACAATATTAGGTTCTGTCTTAGCATGGATATTAATATATTTTAGAGAAATCAAAATTGGAGCAAAACTTACCATAGAATCTCAATTATATTGATTCAATAAAACCAGGGAAAAATCTGGTTAATCGTAATATCATATCAATTTTAGTATCTTGTAGGTTGTGCATGCGTTGCTAAGATGATATGATGTATAAAAAATGAGCTATAACGATAATGAACTACATGATATCTATTAAATTTAAAGTTTTCATTTATTACTGATCCTTGCCATAATGAATCACATGTTTGTGGCCAACTCCCTTACGCACTTCAGTTTAAACTGTATGGAATACGATTCAACCTGTCTTCTTCTTTCTTGTTTTGTTTTATAATCCACTTAAAAGCACTACTCTTTTTGACTTTGATATAAAATGTCACATTAAAAAAAAAGCAATCTATACTATAACTTGATTACTATTCAAGTAAATTAATCAAAACAAACTATACCACAAACAAATGTGAGCTGTAGCACGGTTGGAGACGGAAATAAACTTTTGTAAACTTGCCTCGTTGATCCGACAAAACATTTTTAAGTTGATAATTGAGCCAAGAGAAATGAGACTGGATAATTGGCTGTTCGGATAATTAATAATTATGTATATTTACAAAAAATGTTAAAATCAAACTACTTCATCTGATACATCATTAAATGAATATCAATTCAATTTGCAGTTCAACTCATGCCCTCTGAGGAGAATCCCACAACGTTATGTGATTGGCACGTCTACAAAGATAGACTTGGGTGACTTCAAGCTGCCCGCGCACCTTGATGATGCTTACTTCAAGAAGAACAAGAAGAGCACCAAGCGCAGCGTCAAAAGGAAGCAGGGAGAAGATATCTTTGCTACAAAGAAAGAGGTCAGTATAGAAGTCTAGAATTTACCCTATATCTATATACACAGAACCAAAGGAACTAAAACAGATAACTATGAAAGTCTGTTAATAATAATATTACCATTATATGTTTATTTTAACAAAAACTAGCTGTTTATGTAGATTCCTGTGTAGTGTTGCCAGACGTCCCGCATTTAGTGGGATGTCCCGCTTTTCAGCCCTCTCAGTACACGTCCCGCCAGACCCCTGAACGGGACGCCCAAAATCCCGCTTCTTCAGCCATGCCGGTAATCACTATGTGAGTGAACGACTGCTGACTATGCATGCGAGGCGCGCGATCTCATAGAAAAGGAGTTCCTTTTATATTATGTTTTTGTTTTTAGAGTTAAATGTAGTAGCGATTATACTTCCAGATTTCATAAGTCCAATGCGGCATACATTGCGTTATACAAAGGTATGAGAATGGACAGTTGCAAACAAAACGGCAATGTATGCCGAGCTAAATGCGTTTCAAATAAAAATTTGAATGAGTTTTGATATTGTAAATGTTTTATTCTGTACCGACTTTTTCACCCCAGTCCCGCTTTTGTTATGCTAATGTCCCGATATTTAGAAAACGAATCTGGCAACGTTATTCCTGTGGGTGATAGAATTTTCATGATCTTAATTAGTATTTCTGGAGATTATCCCTTACAAAGAAACTTTACCTCTATGCTATGCTTTAGTAAGAAGGATTGTACCTATACTAAGGATGGCGCTCATCTAACGGAAGATTCGCCGATCATATCAACAAATTCGCTTTTTTGTATAAAAATACAAAAAAAAAATTGAGTATATGTGTCTCAGATATTCTATTTCTGTCATGTCGAAACTCGCTTCAATTATTACCACGTAAATTAATACCGTTTATTACCAATTCAAGACTGAGCGGATGCCGCTTTTTGAAGTGAATTCGAATTCACTTTTGAATTGAAAAATTTCACTTTTGCAACAATCCTATTGCTACATCTAAAAGCTCCCGCGCCGGCTTCAAAGTGTATTCACCTCCGGGTTTGATTCCTAGTCAGGTCAATGTAGAAAATGAATATTTTTATATCATCTTTGGTCTGGGTGTTGTGGTACCTTCATAATTTCAGATACTCCATATTACAAGGGCTTTAGCATAGATTTTATTATGTACAAACTTTTCGCCGGCGGCTTCGCCCGCGTGGCTTACATGACTTGATGGTACTTTGTCCTTAGGACTTAGGGTCCTTAAACAAATTAGTGGGACAAAATGAAACCTTACATGTTAACCCAAACTTAGAATAACGCATGTGCCAAGTGTCATCAAAATGTGTTCAGTAGTTTTTACATAAGGAAGTAACAAATTCAAACATAATATTAGTAATAGTAATGTGACATCTTAAGACATATTCCATTTCTCCAAAACCGAAATTTCGTTTCCAAATGCTCTTACGACTCTTAGGAAAACTTGTTTCGATAATTTATGATGCAACAGAGGTAAGAATTCACTACCAGATAATCTTCACGGATATTATAATAACGATTCAAAATTTTCCGAATTTTCGTTCGAGGACAAATAGAACAGGCCCTTAGGTGTGTAAAGTTAATTCATACAAGTTATACCTAAGAAATGCCACACCGATTTTCTTTCAATTCCAATAATTCTGCTTTACAGAAATACGTTCCATCTGAACAACGCAAAGCTGACCAGAAGTTGGTAGACGAGGCGGTAGTGAAGGCGATCGGCGCGCGCACTGACAAGAAGCAGCTGCGTGGGTACCTCAAGGCAGCGTTCGGTCTACGCTCCAGCCAATACCCGCACAGGCTACGTTTCTAACTTTAACAATACGCCAATAAACATCTAAAACTCTTATTCTGTGTTTTAATTCTATTTATAGATAATATATTCTACCGGTTAGTTCCATCTAATAATGTCCTTAAAGTACACATATTACGTTTACTTTACTATGACAAAATTTGGAAGATGCATGTGCAAGCGCAATAACAATGTTGGCACACCAGTCAGAGGTATTTAGTACCAGTCATTATACGAAATTGTACCTGTTTGGGGACCGTGCCTTATCAGCTTCATTGATATCTACTGAGTGGATTTCTGATTGATAGTCTGAAAATTGATGCAAATACGTTCACCAGTAGCAAAAAGTAACAATGCTTGAAAAATTCAGTCCTGTTGGTGTCTGGTAGCTTATTGGTGAGAGGTGTCTCCCCGATAGCGAAAAGTGGGTTCTAGTCTCGAAGGGTACTTTTCCAGATAATTAAGAAATGATGTGATGCTGCTGGGTTGACGTCAGTAGCAACTCCACGCTATATCTTCTAAACTAGCACTTTAGAAGTTTATTTTTTTTAAAGGTCAAGCCATTTTGGGACGGACGTAGTTTGAAAGTTATATAAATATACGTTTAGAGCAATCAGAACCGCAAATAAAAAAGATTTAATTGTTAACTATTATAATATATAAAATTTAACCATCGAATGTACACAATTCAAACAAAATTTTTATTCTATAAACTGATTCCATCGACTGCTCGCTATAAAACATTGTCATCGCAATGAATAATTAATGCAGTGTAATGAACCTGATTATGATTCTAGACAAATCTCTTCTTTATTCGCTCTTAAGGTCTTAATTGTAACAGAAGGACACGGTTGATGCTAAATAAAATATCGCTCGCCAGACATTCCTATGACCCAACACCAATACATACCGCTAAGATAATATCATATATTAATAGTAAATTAAGATATTAGTGCGTTATGATGGTTATAACATGCGAGGCGGAATTTCAGCCCGAGCCGAAGGCGAGGGCGTAATTGAGCCGACCAGTTCTTTTTAGCTTTTATTTTCCAGTTCTATTTTAGCTGGAATTGTATCATATGGCACTTAGTAGAATAGAAAACCATTAAAAACTGTAGTTTCTTTCGGTTTCGATTCGATTTAAACAAAATTTATTTAGTAGAATTGGCCCCCTGGACAGTGGGGCCAACTGGTGAGAACAAAAATCGAGCCGAAAACTTAATTACTATAGTGACTGTTGTGTATGCAGTTAACCGTACGCCAGGTTATACAAATCCTACATTCTCCAATTGATTATATAGCTGAAATAGGAGGATAGAGTTAAAAATCAATTGAAGAAATTTGACACATTGTGATAACCTGACGTACAGCCTGTGTACATCCGGACGAACGCTTCGTTTGTTTTCATGGCGATAGTGATTGTAGTATTTATTTATATTTAGGCGGTGGTCGTGGCCGGGCAGACACCGCGGTGGTATTCCGTGCACGTTGCCCATATCTCTCCCGCCATTCCGCCTCCAGCTTAGCATAAACACCACCTGGCGGGAAAAGGCGGTGGTTTTCAAAACGATGACAAAAGACTTAATATTTTATTAAATTACATACATATATACCGTTTATTTCTCTAAATGTTAACATTAAAGAAAAATCATCGTAAATTTTCAAATATGGCAATCTGATAGTCTTTTTAGTACATTTAGCGCCAGCTTCATGGTTAGTAGACTGGGCGCAAAACGGGCGTCAATGAAATTTTTAAAAAGGTTCACTTAAGTAACCATTGCTTTTTAAATTAACCACAATAAGAAATATTGGAGCAGTAACTTATAAATAATTTTTTTAGCCAGGCTCCCTATTCTGCTTCTACATCATTGATTCGGCGACTACAGTTAATTTACCAGCGGGCGATTTGGATTTGCCGGGCTGTAGGGCGGCGCGTCGGGCGAGTGCAGCACGCATTTGCCGCGCGGCACGTTCTTCGAAACGCCGCTGCTGATCTTGATTACTGCGCGCTGATAACGACGCTACCCATACACGTCCAGACACCCGTACGCGACGACTACGCACCAACGATTAAATGATGCAAAAAACTATAGAAATTTTACATTTACACAATATCTGAAAAATTCAACCGTCTCAGATGCTCCCGGCGATAAATAAACCCCGCTAATCGAGCAACTGATCTCCCAACGAGTAAGCTTTGAGCACCCAAGCAGTGGCAGATAAAGGACTAAGATCCGGGGCGGCAACAGACCCGGATCGACAACTTCTTTCAACCAGGGCAGAAATTTGATATTGCTATTACTTCACATCAGGTTAAATAAACTGAAATTTTCTCAGATTTATATTAAATCTTACAGCCAAGCAATAATAGTAATAAATTTAGATAATTCGAGACTGCGCTAACTTAATATGCCGCTGTATATACAACGAGTTTTATTAATGAATTTTATTATTGCATTCATTCATTTCTTGGACACAAACAAATATATGTCTAACTTAGTAGGCTGCGCAGAAGCAGCCCTGGGTGGTGGTTGCGCACGGCGTGTAGGCCGGTCTTCATCACTGCGCGCGCTGCCGCTGCTCTGCTCGCTCGCGTCATCCTCAGATTCGCTCGATTGTTCATCGCACACTGCCGAAGCTTCTCCTGCGCCGCCGCATACCGCACCTTTCTTCGTATAACAACGCATGTGTCATGGTTCTTTTGCATTACTCTATGTGCTGCAATAACTCTCCGTAGGTGATATAAATAGTAATAAAATTCAAGTCATAGTAACCTAGCCGCTATAGGTACTTAAGAGTGTTACCCGCAAATCACATTTATACTAATGATATGCTCCAAACTTAAAACTACAAATAGGCGTCATATGTACTCAGCTAAATATAGTACTAAACATATAAAGATAGTAACTATATTATTTTTGATAGCAACTAAGATAATGAAACTAAAAAAATAATAATAAATGCGCAACCCTAATAGCTATTTTATCAGCAAAATTACTATTACAAAAATCACCTACTAGATACGGCTAATTATAAAATATCTAGCTATAAAATTTCAAAATAATGCTGTTCTACGACTATTGAAATACCTATATTGGACAGCAAATAAACCGGGCCACCTGCTACCTTGGAACTCTCATTGGTTTTTCATAAAACTTACAACTATCAAAGTTATACCTACAAAAAGTGCGTTTCATGTTGATTGAAATGACTATAAATTTATTCTAAAGTACCCTCAATTCACATTGTAAACCGGCTACAAACACATTACCAACGATTTACTCTGTATTGGCTAGTATTCGAATTAGCGTTCTTTCTTTCTACAATGTCAATAGTCTAATATTTCTAGTGATATCTTTAGTTGTTGTTTGTCATTTGCTTTAGACGCGTGAATTTGAGCTTTTATCTTCGGTTAATAATTATTACAACACCGCAGGAAGCCGCTCAAGTTACTTCAAGCAGGCGTTTCGCAACGTGAGGTCGCTCGGAGAGTTCGAATCAGCAGATCTTTGGTATAACGGGCTTACAGACGATATTTAGAGACTGGAGTATTCGATCGCCGACCAGGAACGGGGAGACCGATGGCTACATCGGCATCAGATGATCGGTATTATCCAACTTACCTACTGTTTTGCGAAATCGCTGCCTCAACGCAGTTCAAGTGCAACGAAGTCTACTTGACGACCGCCGAGTGGTCATAAGTTCAGATACCGACAGAACGAGAATTGCTGAACAAAACCTGACTCCAAAGAGAGCGGTAACAGGCCCAAAATTAACGGTAGCCTTTTTACTTTTTTTTCTTTCTTTAATTTTTTTTTTCAATTTAACATTACCAACGATTAACACAACTGTAATACGACCCGTCATTGTTAAATGCATAATTAAAATTTAATAAATTAATTAATTGTAACTATCATTATTTCATATTTTTTAAGAAAATTGGATTAGAGTTCCAAGCTAACGGGTGGCCCGGTTTATTTGCTGTCTAGTGTATATTAACATTCACCAAGCACATTATAGTTAACATTTAAATTCCTCCAAAAGTATTTTAGCCATAGTGTGTTATGAGATATGCTCAAAATCTACTGCCTTAATTGTAACCTGACATGGATGTATACTAAACTAAGTCAAATTTAAAGAGGAAACATCAAGTAATTAGGAATACAGAGTTGCTGAATCAATTCAGTCCGCTAGACGTTCGTGCATGAACTTACCTTTGAACTAGGAGGGTCCTCCTTGTCTTTCATTTTGCGGACATCTTTCCGGTCTGGCGAGGGAACAGCGGCGCCGGCACAGGCGACTGTGTGGGACGGCGCCGGCGCAAGCGCAGGAGATCCAGGTCTCGCACAAGCTGTCACGCGGGTGTACGCTAATTGCTTATTAATACTACAAATAGGGCCCGGTCTAAATATTTGACAGTTCCATACAAAAATAATGTAAGCTACCCTTTACACCGACCCTAATCATTCATCATCATCATATATATCATAAACGAGCTTTTTATTCTAAAGAAGAATATTACATACTTATGATAACATAGGTATGTAATGTTGTGAATATTCGCATAAGTAAGTGTTATTTTTAGTTAATTCTTCTCCTCAGAGAGAGAGAGAGAGACAGAGACAGGAAATTGAGAACTCTGTCGTACAGTCCGCCTTCTTTTACCGCTCTAGACCACTGCCCGGCTTCCTTCTCTTAGACCGGGTCCTGACTACAAACTACATGTAACAGTTGTTCGGTGCCATATTATCGTGTTAATTTTATTGCTTTATTTTATGTTTCAATGAAGGAACTTCGACATGGGCCAGATTTAGGTTTGCCAGATATGCGGGACGTAACTTAAGGTGAAAGAAGAAGATAAAAGATGTCACTGGAATTAAACACTAGAAGAATTCAGTGATTGCGACATTGCCGTTGTTGTGAACTTGTTATTCATACACCACTCGCCATTTATTTATTCTTTCACAGAATGTAGAAATTCTGTTGAAAATTATTTTTATATTTTGCAAGATCTATACACAATTATATTAGCAATCTTACATTAAAAATCTGGCAAGCCTAGACAGACTATACATAGTTTTCTTTTGCATTTTTTGAAATAAAATTAAAAAAAAACTTCTGAATGTTTACAATATAACTGTGATGTAGCTATGGAGCAGCATCTATTTCGCGAGTGAACGCTTTTATTTATACTGTGTATTTACAGTTTTGTAAGCCAATTCTGGTTGGTTGTTAACATAAAATAATAATAAATTTGTTTGCAAGCGTTCACATGGCCGCTACATGTGACATCTCAATAAGAGCATATTTACAGCTTAGTTTTAACCTCGCCAATTCAAACAAAATAAAATGTGTCCAGTCACAAGTTACCATTTTCTACTCATCGTACGAATCTACAAGTATGCACTCACGGTTGAATTTAGAATTGTTGGAGTAGAGCTTTCCTAGCAATCCCAGGGGAGATCGGGATGGTGCAAGCTGAATGCCCTCCCACCAGAATACCTCTTTACACTGCAGCCGTCCACCGCTATCCTCGCCTGGCTCTGATCGGGAAAAACATTTATATTTTATCTTCTATAAAAGAGTTTATTCCAGTCTCGCAGACTTTATACTACAGTACAATAATCAACACTGCAATTACTCATGAATATACATTATTGATGCAGTATTATATTAAGAGAACGAAGTCAAGGTCACCATTACGACCGAATTAAATCTTTTGCCAGAATCGTCCATCCATTTGTACATATATAGCTGGAGGAGTTGGAAATGGACTTAAAACTCAAGGCTGGTTGATGTGTTCTATTCTATCCAAACCTCTGCTAACGAGGCGAGTGAGTCGCTCCGGGAACATGAGCTGAGGCGGACGCATCGCAATTATGTCCCGGAACTGGTTGTAGATCTCCATTACCGACGCGTCAGTCGCTAGCCGCTCGTCGGGTGCGTGCTCACGGAACTGGCAACCCTGACATAGAGGACCTCAGTGGAGAAGTGATACAAAATACGTCCGTACTGCGTGCGCATAAGGTGCATTCAAGGATTGAAGTGTTTCTTTTCTACCCACATAGAGTACTGTGAAATTTATTGAGTGTTCTTCAATGAAATTGAATATTTTTGCCAAATGTTCATAAATTAATAATGTTCTTAATTCTCATTTCATAATCGTTCAGCTGTCTATTACAAAGCTAAAGAAATTTTATCTCTTTTCAACTCATTATTCTTTAGGAATATTATTGAGTTTTTTTGGTGAAATTGCTTCAAAAGGGTACTGTTTATTTAATTCCAAGCGTCTGTCTGTTTGCAGACGGAGAAGAGTTTCTATCTGTTAGTTACAGTATAAATTAACGAATATAGATTAGTCTTAATATATCAATAGTCAAATTTTGAAACGGCTTGTTCAAAAGTCTTGCTCGATATGGCAGTAGTAGTTTTTTTCCCTGAGCAAAGGAATTGTTGAAATTTTACCCTCTGCATTGCTGCGGCGCACACGTTAAACGATTTTTTTATACTATTATAAGCCTTTTTTTCTATTATATATTATAATCTAACTATCTATCCAGTAGCAATTAGTGGATAGTAGAGGACAGCAGACGAGTAGTAGAAGGTTATAGGCGAGTAGAGGGGAACGGTAAGGTGGCCGATGGTTAGAGCGGTTGTGATGGATTTCAATATATTGTGCAATGGTACTCACGGTGTTCCTAGTGATGGTCTCGAAGCGATAGGCTCGTTCACCGCAACACGGGTAGCGGCCGGTGGGCAGCGGGGGGCGGCCTTCCAATGCGAACATATGGGCGGTTTGCTCATGATGAGAGCACCACTCCATCTGCCCATCGGTGTACGAATTAAACCAGACAGCTTATTGAACGAGATTTTACATTTACCGACATGCATTACATAGAAGAAATAAGAATGATATAATTCATGACGTGTACTAGGATAAGATGTCTCTGCGATGATAATGTGTGGGAGCGACCTTAAGTCACCTGGTTAAACGACATTTCTGGATCATATCTAATAACTTGTGCTGTTTATGCAGACAATCTGTTCTGCGCTATAAAGATTTATATAAGGTATACCTCCATCATATTCTATATTATCTGCGATTATGAGCGATACATTATGTTAAAAAAAAAACAAGAGTTATGACTAATACTTCATAAATAATTATGAAGTCCATTTAGATTACTTTTTGTCAAGTAATTCAATACTAAAAATGAGTCTTCTGGTGAGATCTTTTCAGTAAAAAAATTACCACACGAACTCATAGATGTTTGACTTGCACGAGATCTCGTTAAATGCTTCTCATGCATGATTTTGACTTTTTCGAAGGAAGGTTTGTAACCTAAAGAACAGTTATTACTTCTAGTGCTGGGGATATTGATTAGATTATCATAAGTTGCCTGGTAAGCTGGAAAGTAGCTGTCGCAGAGCTGACAGCGCAGGAAATGACAGTCAGCCCAGAGTCGCCAGTACACCCGCCGCCAGGAGCGTAGCTCGCCATACAGCCACGTTATGTATTCGTTCAGACTCCAAGATGGCTCCCTAAAATTTTCAGTAACTCAATAAGATATATTTGATTGATATCAATTATTATACAATTCTATCATTTGCCTCTTCCTCTGTTTGCGGATATATGCTTTTAGTTACGAGATGTAGAGGAAAATATTCAGTTGTCAGTTTGAATTAGCAAGATTCACTTTTTTGTTTCTTGTCTTATTAATATAAATTCTTACTTGGTGTGTGAAGAAATAACATTTCCACGGCGGTCAATCCTCATACTAGAGGGCTGACATGGCACCTGTTCAGCGATATGGCGCCCCAATAACTTGTTGCATCTGATGATACAGAATGGGTATGCTTAATTTCTGAGCATATAAATAAAATACTCAAGAAATTAAAGTCTTCTAAATTGTTACGTACTTGCTGCATTTGAACAGGGTAGCGAGTGTAGCGTAATGACCGCGCAGGGTCTCCGGCACAGGTTCGGCGAGAGAAAGGATCATCTTGCAGTATAGTCGTGATTGGATCTTGTCTTTGCGGTCACGAACCGCTTCCAGCTCCGCGTTCGTGTACATAGCTGCCAACCTACCACAGAATTATTTATACATATATATTATAATAAAGTTTTTGTAATATGCATCTATGGGAATACATCATTCCAACTAGAAGCTTACTAAATATATCTTATATGTAAATGCCGCTGTAGGAAGCCGCGGCGAGTCCAATATGAAATTATAATATTGTTTACTGCTGTTCGCAAAGCTCTTACTCAAAGATAGAACTAATGAAATTGAGTTCAAATTTATTACATTCATGTGACATTTTTTAGAAAAACTATTTTTTATACTTATCTAAAATCCCTGTATTACATACATATTACCATATTCATTTTTAGTGTTTTTAAAGCAAGTTTTTATTTGTATATTTTAAAAGTTGAAATGGAAATGAAGTTTTACGATAATGTTTTCACATATATCTAAGCCAAATCGCTAATATTATTTTGAGTCACTTAACTAAAGAAGTGAACACACTGGAATCTAATAATAATATTGTCAAATGAGAAATAAAACTAATTACTGGCACCTCGACATTTACCTGGTAAGTAAAGCGTCACTAAGACATGCTAGATTGGTGGACGTCTTCACGATGTCGTTCAGGTGAGCGTGACAGTAGATCAGGCAATCGTGTAGCAAAGGCTCCATCTGCACAACCATTAACCATATTCTAAAAATATTAGAGTGTAATAAAACTAGATAATTTTGCATTACTATCACAATACACAACTCTGTACATTATGAACTCCAAAGCTGGTTATTTTGTACTGTCGAGCACGATAGTATTAAATCTGAAATGCTACATTAGGTAGTACAGATAGTATATTTTACAGGCACTCGAGAAATTTAACAGTTTTAGTAAGGTCTCTGGTAGCTCAATAAGTAGATCAGTCATCTGGTTAGCACAAATTTACGAAAGAATTCTGTTTCAGCCCTGCGATTCTGTAAAAATCCAGGCCCGAATTCGAATATATGTCATTTAGTAGTAGTTGGAAAGGTGCCTGAGACGGAATTCAAACGGAAATTATCATCTGAGACGATACTTAATTTTTCAACGTAAACGTTTGAAATATCGCTTATTGTTGCATTTATCATATATTTAACTGTTAGTAGATATTACATAAAGTTGATTTTGGCCCTCCCCTGACTCTGGCGCCCGGGGCAGGTGCCTCCAATTGCCCCTTCCCTCTTCCCCCAATATTCCGGGCCTAACTTTCTTTGACGTTTTACACATATGCCACGTCTGAAAAAGTGTTCAAATATCACCTGAAGAAACGACGCCGACACTAGAATAGGTATAACGTTGTGAGGGTCCAGCAGAGGCCAGTCTGCTACCAGGATAGAGTCTCGTTTAACCCATCTCATCAGCCAGTCGAAGATCTAAATCAACAGTTAATTTAAACAAACGGGTTTGAAAATACAATGAGGAAGTATTAAAAAAAACATGAGTTCCCGAAATCAAACTAGATGTTGCTACAGTACGTTCTTGATTTTTCCATTCCGGTTTTCTTTCATGCTTAAAAGTAAATTAGTTTTCCAAACTCAATAAACAACTCATATTCTATTTGTACTTTTTCGTATTTGATATCTAAGTTTCGAACTTTTCAAATATCAATTTTTTAATATGAAATGACTGTCTTTGGTCCATTCGTTTCCTGCAAAAATCAACTTTTGCTAGAGTCGCCATCTAGTGGAGGTGCATTTTAGTGACTTCGATTATTTAAATACTTCCTCATTGGACATAGTTAATCAAAAAGGATCCATCCCACACAATGTCACTTTTGTGATTAACGGCCGGTTTCTGAATTAAGAAAAGCACAAAATCTCAACTGATTATTCTCAATAACTGAAGTTTTTACGTTTCATATGGCAGAAAGTTTTAATTTTATCAAATTGCTATCAGCTGAAAAGAAAAAAATATTAATCAGTAATGAAAACATGTTTAAATGACGTTTGAAATGCCTTAGGCACGGTTTGAGACATGCTCTACATCAGATTCTCAATTCAGAAACGGGGTGATAGACGACTGAAGTTTAAGCTGTATTTGCATGTTGATGTAACATTTTTGTGTATTATATTTTTATCTAATAGCATATAAAACCACTTACATTATCTTATTATAATGTCATTTTAACATAACTAACAATATTTATTAAAATATAACGGTAATAAGTAGCTCGTTGGCGTACAGGATAAGCGCCGCGGCCTGCGAGTGTTGTTGTTAACTTTCGCAAGGGTCGGTCACGGGATGGGTGACCAAAAAATTATTATCTCGAGCTACTTCGTGCTTCGTAAGGCACGTTAAGCCGTTGGTCCCGGGTGCATTTGCAGTCGTTAATACCCTCCAATCCGAATTGGGCCAGCGTGGAAGGTTATGGCCCATCCTCCTTAACCATCCATAAGGAAGGCCTGAGGCCCTGCAGTGGGGACGTAAAAAGGGCTGATGATGATGATGATGATAAAGGTAAAAGTATGTTTGGATCATTTTTAATATATTTAGGTTTTTATTACCTTATTCTTACAAAACAAATCTCAAAAATCCAAATGAAGAAATAATAGAATAATTAACTGAAACGCCAAAATTTAATCGTAAAAACTATTTATTAGGGGTTCTTTATATTTATTGTTTTAATTTTTAATGTCAAATGTATTCTCACTATCTAAAATTACCTTCCTACCTTTTAATAAAATTACCTTTTAACAAAAATGATTCAAGAGTTTGAACTTTGAAAGATGAAAGTATATCTAGATCCTGATGGACATTTTGGTATACTTAACTCATTTTCTACCAATTTGTGGGTTGGATCCTATTTGAGTAACTACGTCCAATTATGATAGATAAATTAACAATAAATATATTTAAAAAATATGATGTGACGTTGCACAGACGTATATTATAGGTTTAATGACGCCCTTAAGCTCTTATAAATGTCAAATTTGTACGTGGAAAGACTTTTTAAACTAATGAAATTTTTAATGGACGTTTGTGCAACTAGCTGTATGACTAGTTAAATATCCGACCTTAGTTCGCGTGGCGTTACATCACTATACTTAGAAGTATTTCCGTGTTAGTTATTTTAATACAATACACACATCTATATTTTTAATTGGAAAATATGTGCTTAATATTAGTATGTAGCTTAATCGATGTATTATGTGGTAAATTACCAATTTAGTTATTTGATACAATTACAATCGAGTTGCTTTTTTTTAATTTACTTGTGTATTCTATTAAAATAAAGCAACAACAATAATGTATAACAACATTAGTGTGTATATGTAATATATTAAATCTTGAAAAAAACTATACTTAATGCTTATTTAGACTCTTGAGTGAATTAAAATACTTTAACGAATACATATTTTAAACATTTATAACGGCAATTTTTAAAATTAAAGATTTTATCTTTTAAAGTCAGTGCATGAACTGAATGTAAAATTAACGAAAGCAACGCCCCATTTCATAAGTTTTATCTGACTCCTCATTCGTCATTTTAAAATAACTTCATAAAAATAAAGATATTTTTAAATAGTTTTTAATTTAGAATACCTGAATATCACAATGCACTGAAATGTCCATATCCTCCAACCTTTGACCCGCTGTAACATCGGCAAAATAGCCCATCTTGGATACTAACAATTTTTGAGGACATCTAAAGTCTTTTTTCAAACCCTTTACTTCGTCACAAACATGAATTTCCACATCTCCACTAAAAAATTATCAAATTGTTTAAAAAACTACAAAACGTAGCTTCCGATACCGGGAATCGAACCCGAGCCTCCTGGGTGAGAGCCAGGTATCCTAGCCACTAGACCATATCGGATTTAGAAATCGGACTCAAACATGTTAACATATTCAAATTATATTACCATTATATATATCTTTTATATGAATAAATGTATACATATACATATCTATTTAAAAATGCTTACTATTATGCTAATCATTCGAAAAAATACAAATTACGATATTTTAAAATTTTTAAGAAAAATCAATTAAAGACGCCATCTATTTAAATACTTTGAAACTAACAACATACTCTTGCTTTTGGTTCACGCGTTCTTGAGCTGCTATTACAGACGACTTGCGTCTTCCCAATCTATCCCTAGACTCTTTTTCATTCAGGAAACCTTGAAAATAAAATAATAAGAAAAAAGTATAAATTATTGTTACTATTGTCACGTTCCACTGTACCACTTATGGTTATGTACTTACCACCGAAACTTCCAGGTTTTTTTATATCAAGAGTAGTGTTTGAAGATGCTTTTTTGATGATAGGAGTATACACACTCGTAGTTTTAGAAGGCTTTTTATATCCCACTAAATATGGCAAAATTGAATCTAAAATTCCTTCATTTATAACCTAAAATAAATTCTTATCAAAGCGCCACCTGTTACATAATTATTTAAACATAGCAAAACATTACTTTTGTCCTATAATACTTTGCGATTTAATATTAATATTTCACTTACATCATTCAATTTACAGTTGAGATTTGCTTCTGTCCATACACCAAGCATTTCAACTCTAGTTTCAGGAGGTAGAGAACGTCTCCGACCTTTACCTATTCAGAAAGATGAAATATATTTACACAACGTAAAACGGCGTCAATAAAGTAAACCAAATTTCAACTTGCCTTCAATTTCACTACAACTGGCTCGTTTCTCAATACGTTCTATTTCATTATTTTTTTTTCCTATGGCTGTATCGCTCTTACTGATGACAGGCTTTTGGGTAGAGTAAGCTGTTTGATAAAGGAGATCCCTCTCTTGTTGTTCAATTACATGGTTTATTACTGTTAATTTAGTTAGCTCCTCCCAATTTATTTTCACTCCTTCCTCTTCACCGCCTTCCAAGTGCTCGTAAACTTGATATGCTGTCTTCATAAAGTCAAAAAAATCTTTCACTGTGATAACCTCTGCGGGTAAATGCGTTTTAGAACTGTTCTTTGATGTTAATTCAGAACGGTTTGGACTCTTAGTATTTTTTCCGTCACCTTTTTGCATAAACATCGAAGAGGTATCTGGTTCTGGATTTGGATTAGCCATGTTCATTAAAATGACATTTAAACCACGTGAAATATAAACAAGAGTAAATTTATCGATATAATATGTAGCTAAGATACAGACTGAAGATTCATTAACGAAGTTATTATAAAGTCAAATTACAATAAAGATTTTTTAAATATAATACACATAATATTAATTGCCTAGATTATATAGAGTTAGATATGTGTATATGATATAAAAACATTTTTAATGACATATATGTTTTTCTACTGATCTATGATACTGACGTAGTGTATAAATGTAACAAAGAGGAAATCTATAGAAATGGTTTTATAAAGTTGTCCGATATATTTATGTTATTGTTTAGAAGTCAAATAATGTATACATTATTTTTGATTGTCGTATCCATAAAGTAATTTAAGTCGTATCGTTACATAAGGTCATAATCATGTAAATTTCATTTGTAGTGATTTCAAGTGATTTCCAATTCGAGAAAGAAAAAATTACAGTCACTGGCTAGTACAGTACTAATACGTCTGTCTAGCACCAACCTCCTTGAAATTGAAAATAAATTGCCCTACACTCGACAGTTCCTGGTAACACTGATTGACAATGACAAGTTAACAAATCATTTTGTTGCCATTTATCCAGAATTATCCGTATTTATACAGATTTTCTTTGTATGATACATATTTTTATACCGAGTTTTCTTATTGTATAATAATATTCAACTCAAAATAGAACAAAATAAATAATTAGATAACTTGTTACACACATCATTTTATTATATATGGGTAATTTATTTTTTCATTATTCGAATCTTTATTGTATGTATTACACTATTTACTCGAGAAATCCCCCAAAATCTTTTTATGCTGTCCAAAATACTTCGTTCAAATTATTAAGTTATAATAAGTATTTTGTTCGTTCGTTAAGTTAATATTTCTTTATATAGTACTGAAATAAACGTCATTTTAAGTTAATATTTCTACATATAGTACTGAAATAAACGTCAATTTTACTAATTAGTGTATATTTTCATTTAATATACAATAATCAAACCTTAGTTAGTACTTATCCCTTATTTTTCAAAAGAAGTTATGATGATTATGTTCAGAAAATGTTTTGATTTTTTACAGATATTTTAAGTTAAAATAGTATACAGATTTTAGCAAAACCTACTACAAATAATAGGCATCTGGCGACAATGACAAATCATCTGTTGTCTATAGTTAAGTGATATGTCATGTTGTCCTAGCAATTAACGTTTTGTCATTTTCGTGTTATTTTGTTGTTCAACAAAGTTATTTAGAATGTTTCTAGATATAATTTATTATGGAAAGTTTTCAACCCGAATATGACAAAAACGGTGTATTATCAGATACTTTCTGGAAGACTCCGCAGCGCGCCATCCCGGGTAGACCCTGTCAGAGGGTCGGACAAAGCGAGGTTATGTCGGGCTCATCGTATCAGCAATTCCAGGCGTCCGTGAACGATGCCTGGGACCTAGGAGACGACGACATCATTTCTGGCATCGCCGAGACCAGAATATCGAAGGCCATATCGCAAACAGTTGCTTTAAACGTGATAAATTCTCATAGAAATAGTAATAAGAACGTAAACAAAAGTGACGTAAAAGTTGAGACTGATAATGTGAAATCGGAAAATGAAGCGAAGGTTGTTAAAAGGAATGAAGTTAAGAAAGTGGGGAGCGGTGCTGGGGTGAGTTCTGGAATTATGCGTCCGTATCCTGGCCGTCCAAGACCCGTTCGTCTGTCGGCACTCACTTCACGGGAGGAGAGTAATGAATCGAAGCTTGAGAGATTCCAGCAGCTGCAAGAAAATGCGGTCGTAGACTTGAATGAACTCAAACAACTAAGCTGGTCTGGTATTCCAGTCAAGGTTAGCTTCCACACATTCTTAAGTGTCATTTTATGATAATGAACTTAATTAACATTGATATATACACAGTTGTCTCTTGCTTATTATTGTGCATTGTTTTGTTTATTTATTTCTTTTTTATTGTCAAAAGTATTTTTAGAACTTGTTAAATATAATTGTTACTAAATACCAGTTTACAATTGGGGAAATGTTCTATTTGAATAACAACCATTATTAACGACAAGGAAAATGAGATGAACTTGGTATCCTCATCTTCTATTGTATTCTAAAAGCAAAATGATATCATTCAGTCCTTATTGTTCATATCATTCCTCACAGAATAATTTTTTTTTCCATAGTTTTCCTTTTGCTCTCAGTTATCAACATGCAAAATCATCTAGTGACATATGTTTAATATTTTCTTATATGTTTCCTACTGCATACCAAGATAATAATTTCAAACTAGAATTTGAAAATTCCGTATTGTTTATCTATCATTGTATTTGAGACTTCTATGGAATACTAAACAAGATCTAATTTCAAATTCAAATCAAAGTTGAATTGAATTCTAATAACCAATATAGCACACATGTCATACAATTGTTAGCTTTTAACTTAGAATTTCTACAAGTTTATTTTTATATTTGTTTTATAAAAACTGTCTATATATTCTTAGTGTTTAAGCAGTAGTGACCAGTTATTCACTAATCAGTAGTAATAAATAATCAGAAGTAGATAAAACATTCTGTTTTGACATTATGAGTTAATATCTATTTTTATTTGTAATCTAACATTATAATAAAATCTAAGTTCACTATTTAAAATGTTTTGAAAATGATTATGACTTACAGTTACAATTATTGGTGTTATTGTGATATGATAAACAAAGAAATGAGTATTACGCTCACTGAATTATACAGTGGCACAACATGAAAATCTAATATATTTATAATTATGAATGAAAATCATTTTTTTTAGCATAAAAGTAAATCGTCTGTATTATATTATTACTGTTAAGTTTTCTATTTTTTGTTTAAATTATCTATGGGATGCCACCACAATAATGTGGCGTTATCTCGAAATAATGGTTTTTGAGTTGTGCCACTGTACTATTCAGTGAGCGATATAATGCTCATAATATTAGGGCTCCTTTACAGTTTTCCTGTCATTATCCATAAACTATGTCAAAGTGTGTTTATAATTTTTAACAGACACACACATATGTGTTTTGCAACTGTGTTTAGGTTTTTCGTTTTATTCCCAATCTTTGACTTTTATATTGTCTTGATGGTAAATTACGGCGGAAAAGTAATTTCTAAGAAATATGGTTTTTAGTAAATCTTCCTTAATGCAAAGTAAAGCTATTGATTCTGGCAATGACCGAACATACCTTATGATTAAAATTTATAGTAATTCTAGTTGAAATTGTAAAATACCTAGTGTCCATTTAACTCAATGGCAGTCAGACATGTGGGTATTGAATCGCCTGATGGCCCATTCTGTTCTTCTGCAGAAGAACATCATATCAGTCATTTACCTTAATTATTTTGGATACCTATAGGAAAGAACAGTCATATAAAAGGCTTTATTTGGAAACTGTACAATGTATGTGGATTTTGTCCAGAATTAATCTTATATATAAAAATGAATCGCAAAATGTGTTGGTAAGCGCATAACTCAACAACGCCTCGACCAATTTGGCCAAATCTTTTTTTAAAATGTTCGTTGAAGTTCAAGGATGGTTTTTACGGCGAGAAAAATTAGAATTATTGCTGGAAAAACCCTAAAAATAGCCCTTTTCTTTTTCCCATACAAATGATTTGTAACTAAAACGTAGTCAATTTGAGCTTTATTGCTATGGTATAAAGTTCATATTAAATTACAAGCACTCACTGTTGTCTAAGCAATGTAGGCTTTTTGACAGGACGAAGTCTGTCGAGTCAGCTAGTTTATTATAATTATTGCTGTTATTTCTTTAGGTTAGGGCTATAACGTGGCGTCTCCTAGCCGGTTACCTGCCTGCGAATACCGAGCGTCGAGCAGAGACTCTCCAACGTAAGAGAGCGGACTATAAACATCTAGTGCGACAATACTACGATGCCGAACGTGACGACGACACATACAGACAGATCCACATAGACATACCGCGAATGAGTCCGCTTGTCGCGCTCTTCCAACAATCCACTGTGCAGGTCTGAAATTCTTAAAACCTAATATTATTTGTATGTTTGTCAGTCAGTGTGGTCACATACAAATATGATATAGTATTTTTATTTCATAACTGTTATTGTATCTAGGCGCAAATACAGTTTATTAGAATTATTTATTCATAATCAATATATTATTTATATTTAATTTGTATTTGTTATATGATATTGATATTTGAGAGTGTGTGTTGACATCGAATTTTAAAATAATATATACTTACTTATACTTATGACACAATATATTTTATGCCTATGACGTCCTTAGCTACCAAACCGTCAGCGTCACAAAGAGGGACAAGCTTAAAAAGAGTCTCATAACAACAACTACATAATAAAAAAAAATATATAACAGTCAAATACCTTTAAAACTATTTTTTTTCCTTTTTAACAGACTTCAAAATCCAAAAGGAGGAGGTTATATGTTCGATGTATGTTTTATACCGCCAATTAGGGTCTGATACTCAAAATTATTTTTTTATTCGACTGCTTAATAGTCGAGGTGGCCCCATTTAAATTTTATCCAAATCGAATAGGTATCTTTCCTTCATAACAAAACAAAATATGTTAGATGATGTACTAAATATTTAGATGATAATTTTGTTATATTACAGCTAAAAAGCAAAATATTGTGTTCTTTGAATTCATTCTAAATCCGAAAAGAGGATTTTCTTTTTTCAAGAAGTTTGTATAATTTTTATGAAATTAGGTATGTCAGTCGATTATTTTGAAGAACCAATTTCTATCAAACTAGCTGTTTTCTCGCGACTTCGCCTGCGTAAATTATATCGTATGTATGTCCAATGCGTATCATGTAGTTTCCCGTAGATGAAAGACTTGTACATCGGTCCAATTGTTTCGGAACATATTCAATGCCAACAAACAAGCAATCAAATCTTTCCTCTTTCTAATATGAGCATAAAATTATTGGAAAAGAATATATCGAGCAAATAAACAAAATTTCATTTTTACCATTTTTACTATGTTGAATATTTTTATTTATATAGATATTTAATATATTAGTATATAATAACTGTGTTATAAGTGTATCAGAATCTGATGGCAAATTAGGAAATTCTAATTTGTAGAAGGCAATATATGGAAAAAGGATAAAGATGTCTTGATACTTGTAATGTTTTTAATATAATAAACACTTCTCAATAACTGCCTTAGCATTGAACATACTCCAGACCATGTTCCTATTTTGGCAAAAGTTGACAGTTTGAGACATAATATAGTGCACAAACATAGACCAACCAACTCTATATTACAAACATCTAATATTTTGACAGGACAGCACTCGGCCCAGAAAAAAAACCCAATCATATTTTACCTGACTCGGAATCTAACATGAAAAAATAAAAGAAGCTTTTCTTTATGTATTTCTTTATTGCTAATCCCTACTAATATTGCAACACCTGTTACGCTTACACATCTAAATCAAATCGGATTTAATTTGTTACCTTCTTTTCACAAAATAAATTAATATTTTCACAAAATTCACAACACTTGACAGTTGACAACAATAGACAATTTAAATTGCCATATAAAAAGATACAGTTTATTTTTTGCCACCAGATTCTGGTACACCTATACCTATTATATAAAAAATATCAATACCATTAAAAAAAACATGAAATAAAACCTAAAAATATAACAGAACTGACTTTAAACTTTAAAAAAATTATAAATAATATTTATCTCAAAACCGACTTATTCAAGAAAATGCTATCGAAGTCAGGCGCCTATCATTGAATTTTTAACCTACAGAAAACCTCCGCCCGATTATATAGTTAAGTTGCTTTTGAGATAAGTATTATTTATAGAGATTAAATTATTTTTACAATTCTTATAGTCTGTTCAAAAATTTGTGTTTCAGGTGATGTTCGAGAGGATCCTTTATATATGGGCTATAAGACATCCCGCGTCTGGATATGTGCAGGGGATCAATGACCTGGTGACGCCATTCTTCATGGTATTCCTTCAGGAGGCTGCGCCGGGAGAGGAACTCGACAATTTTCCATTAGACAAACTCACAGAAGAACAGAGAGATATAATCGAAGCTGATTCATTCTGGTGTTTATCCAAATTCCTCGACAGTATACAGGATAATTATATATTTGCTCAGCTTGGAATACAATACAAAGTAAGTGACTATATTTTAAAACCACACTAAACTTTTAAAATCTTATTATAAATTGAAGACTTACTAGTACCAGGTTTAATGTATTATCTAGCCAAAATAAGTCAACATATCTCTTTTTATCGTTTTCTCTTCTGTCAACGTTAATTTGCTTTAGACGGCATAGTGCTAACTATAGTCATAGTTTTTATAGTAAGACAGTAAAAACAAAAATAGGAAAGTATTATGTTTTTTTCGCATCGAAAGTTGGATTCAGCCATCAAGTTAAGGTGGTGACAAAAATTCATTTGACATGTTTTTTGTGTGGCTTAAATGTGTCATATGCCAGAGTAGCTCGGTGGCGTAGTGGATAAGCGCCGCGGCCCGCGATCGTAGTCGTTAAGCAACTTTCGCAAGGGTCGGTCACGGGATTGGTGACCAAAAATTATTATCTCGAGCTACTCCGTGCTTCGGAAGGCACGTTAAGCCGTTGGTCCCGGCTGCATTTGCAGTCGTTAATATCCTCCAATCCGCATTGGACCAGCGTGGAGGGTCATGGCCCATTCTCCTTAACCATCCATAAGGAAGGCCTGAGCCCCTGCAGTGGGGACGTAAAAGGGCCGGTGATGATGCCATATTTTGCTGCAAGAAACTATTAGTTATTTCCTTTTGACCACGCTCGCGAAGCAGATAATTGCTAGAAATTATAGCTTTTTATCTGTTTCCATTAAATTTATTGAATTATTAAAAGTACTAAACATATGTATTGATAAATATATTTATTTTAAAAAATTAAATAAGTCACAATTGCCTTTGTTCTGTTTAATAAACATATTTGTGATATGTATGACTAGCTAAACTCAGTCACGTACGGTTGTGACTATCTTTAAGAACCTCGAGATAAAATAAAAATATAGCCTTGTATGTTACTCAGTGATCATTGGTATAAAATTTTAAGAGTAAACTTTTTACAGTGAACAGCACTTTAGGTTAAACAAAACTCTCTCTTCAATTGAATTTAAACCTAAATTGATTGACAAGTTCGATTGCGAAATTTTGACATATTTTGGTTACCAGACATGCTGTGTGTGTACTTAGTAGAAATTGCGACACACATCAGCCAACCAACATGCGACTTATATAAAAACATTTCAAAATCTACATGGTTGTTATAAACAAAACTAATATTTTATTATTCTTGTAGTATTACCATAGATTTCCTACTACTCCCAGATTTAAGGCAAAGGAGTACTTTTTAAACAGCCTCTTTTGTCATCAGGTGAATCAGCTGAAAGAATTGATCAAACGTATCGACAAACCGCTTCACGAACACCTACAAAACCATGGCGTGGATTACCTGCAGTTCTCATTTCGTTGGATGAACAACCTTTTAACGAGGGAGATACCATTAGCATGCAGTATCCGTTTATGGGATACCTACCTAGCAGAATCTGATGGGTTCGCTACCTTCCAGCTTTACGTCTGTGCTGCTTTTCTCCTCCATTGGAGAGAAAGACTTCTACTAGAAAGGGACTTCCAAGGCCTCATGATTCTATTACAGAATGTGCCCACTCAGAATTGGACCGATTCTAATATAAGCATGCTTGTTGCTGAAGCTTACAAGCTCAAATTTGCATTCGCTGATGCTCCCAACCACTTGCAGTCAGACAGATGACCTGCTTAAGCTGGAATAGGTCAACCAGGGTATATGAGCAGATGGATATGGCAGTATGGATAGCTGAGACTGAAGTATTGTTGGGTTGTATCAGTGGAAATGTTTATATGTATTTTGTATGTATAAAAATAGCAAGAGAATCAAGATGATTTTGTTTTATATTGTGTATTATTGAAATTATTTGCTGATGTTGTGAAGGTTATAATTATTACATTTACTGCCCTTAGTATTTTTATTCCTGTGACGTTTGATGCTTGTGGTGCCTATACTTTTTTAAAACGGCAACACCGATCACCGACATGATTAATTTATTGTACGTTATTGAGTCTCGTTAATAAAGTTCACAAATATAACCTAAGCAAATAACGCATTTTATTAATCAGTTTTTTTTTTTTTATTATTATTAGGTCTATAATATTTTAGCAATGGTCTAGAAGAGTGGTTATTGAAAACTGTTTGAAAAAGGTCACTTTTATCCGAGATACTTCACTATGAAGAACTCAAGCTTTTACTATTAATTTGTAATAGTTGATGGGACATAATTTGTTTACATAATTATGTAATACCTACTTCGATATTAAATCAAAGTTTCTGTTAAACTCATTAATTATTACATTAAAAATTATCTCGTATTGTACTCTTTAATTGGTCTGATTTTATATGTCGGTGTTTATTATAATCTAATTACGCAGGCCTAATAATAAATTAATTTGGTGAATTTCACAATGCGTTTGTTTTAGTTATAGGGGGCAGCGCCTGCCGATATTATGTAAAATACATACGTCCTCAGATTTGTGGTTTTGTGAAAGTTTTCTTTTCATGTTATATTTGAGTTTATTAAGATGTTAATTTACTAGATTGATTATAGCGGATTATACACATTATTAATTGTGTTTTATTAACAGACAGAAAACATCAATATATCAATAATACTTAAATGTTCCGATAAACACTGCGACCACTGAACAGTATGACGTCAATTTAGTATACTGGAAGCCCGTTTCTTTATAGCTAGTTATACTGGTGACTTTTTAAAACGGAACGCAGTCCAGTATACTGTTAATCCTATTTTTTGGCGCCATTTTTAAATTTGTTAATGTAAGGTGAATATAATATAAAGATTCCCTCTTTTCAAAAGAAAATATTATAAAATTGTATATAAAAAAAATATTTATCAATTAAATCCATCTTATAATAAACGTAAGTATTTTTTTTGTTTATTTAGAAACTTATCATTTTCTGATTCTGTTTCGACTGATCACGTGATCAAAAGCACTGCGAGCACCTTACCTCGAAATCTCCAGTGCTCATAGTACAAATATGGCGGCAATTTATGACGTCATAAATTTTCCTAGGGTACTGTAGCAGTGTACTGGCAGTCCATAACGGAACGGATTTTTCAGCAGTAAGACCACTGCGCAGTGCTCGCAGTGTATATCGGAACATACCCAAAATTTGAAACTTACACAGGTTCTGGACCCTAAAGACTTAGGGTTTGATTAAATCTGTATTCTAAATTTAAATTAGCACGATGTGGACTTTTATGTCACCACAACCTTTTCTGTCGCTCAGAACAGCTTTTTGCTAGAGCGAGAAAGAGCGGATGTGAGATAGCACGCTGTGGAATCCTGGCGGTAATAGGGAATTTGCTATTTTTCTTGCTCTAACAAACAGCTGTTCTGAGCGACAGGAAAGGATGGGGCGATGTAAAAAGGCGATACCGTGCTGCCAGGTGTTTAATCGTAATGGTATTCTCGTTTAATTTTATTATTGTTGTCACCTAGTTTCGGAGATAAACGATAGTCTTTGTGGCCAGGCCCCGGGCTGAGGTGACTAGCGCCCTGGGCAAATGGTCTACTGGCGCCCCTTTATTACTATAATGTTAAAGCAAATAATCTATGTTACTTATATTTTATGGAGGAAATAACAAGAAAACACGTCTTTCGTACCCAAAACTGTAGACATTTATTTCTACATAATTCACACTTCCAGTAAAGATTACAACTTAAAATTATTTTTTCTGCCCATTTAAAGCCCGGGGCCTGTTCGTGGCGCTTCTATGCTGACGTCAGTCCGTCACAATTTGAGCTCTATTTATAATAAATTTCAAAATTTACCTTACCTTCCGTATGGGAGGAACAAAAAGTCGAATATTTTTTAATATAATATATTTATTTAATCGAAGTATAAACCATTGATATCTATGCACTTTTGCCATCTCATAGGTAGTTCATTGATGCCCTTACAAAAAAAACCATTCGGACGGGAATCAATAAAATCTTTGAAGGCGATTTGCACTGCCCCATCGGAGTTGAATTTTGTCCCTTGCAAGAAGTTATACCAATTTCGAAAAAAATGGTATTCTGTTGGAGCAAGGTCCGCGGAGTACGGTGGATGTCTTAGACATTCCAATTGGAGCTCTTCTATTTTAGTAGCCGTCTGTTGTGCAGTGTGTGGTCTAACGTTGTCGTGAAATAGCAGTGGCGTAGAGCGATTGACCAGCCTCGGTTGTTTAACAGCTAGTTTTTCCAGCATGGTTTGCAATTGCTGACAATAGACATCTGCCGTAATCGTCTGCCCAGATTTGAGAAAACTGTAATGAACGACACCGGAATTAGTCCACCAAACGCTTACAAGTAACTTTGTTGGTGTCAATTTTTGCTTGGGGCAGGATTTGGCTGGCATGCCAAGGTCCAACCATTGCGATGAGCGCTTCCGATTAACGAAGAGAATCGGCTTTTCATCACAGGTAATGATTCGATTTAAAAACCCTTCATTATTGTGCCGGTTAAGTAATGTAACGCAGCAGTCGAAACGCGTTTGTCGGTTTGCTTCACTCAATTCGTGAGGTACCCACTTTTCAAGCTCTTTTATCTTTCCAATTTGCTTCAAGTGGATTAAAACAGTTTTATCACGAAAACCGCAGCCTGCAGCTAACTCGGACGTGATTTGCGATGGATCCGCTTCCACAATAGCCTTCAATTCTTCATTCCATGTGGCTTGTTCTGCAGGTTTAAATATCCAGAACGTGAACGTTGGAACCAAAAACGCACTGTGTTTTCTTTTGCGACACGACCGCCATACACATCATTAACCCTTCGAGCCGTTTCCGCAGCACTGGTACCACGGTGGAACTCGTACTCGTAAATAACACGATATTTGAAGTTTTCCATTTTTTATACTGGGTGACGTAAATACCCAACTAGCAAAAAGATCGTATAAACAATCACTCTTATGACTTAAGATCGAAAAACAGTCTTATGATAGATTCCATTATTCCAAATAGTTGTATAAAAGCAGCTCTCTTGATTTTTTAGCATTGCGCACCTTTTAGCTCTATAAAAATGTCGACTAAACGTGGACTCGACGAGTTCATATCGCATTTACTCGATATTTGTATAAAGGTATATCATGATCGCCTTCATTCAACCATTAGCCTAATGATAACACTTTAAAAGCTACTGAATTGCTAATTTGTCATCAAACTAGCTTTTATAGAACTATCTTTCCACATTTGATTATTGCAACATTATTGTAGAGTAAAGGCTGTTTATTAGACAAAATAGCATTTCATTTACTATATCAGGACTTAAGGTCATATGATTGCTTGTTACTCAGCTTTCATTCTGCTTAATTATTGATGTTGAGTAAAAGCTTTCAAATTATCTCTCATAGCTTTAAAGGTGCTCTAAACACTGTTTGAAAGCCATTATTCAGCGTAATAGTGGTATAAAAATCAAACAAAATCTTTAATAGCACTGTTTTTTTGGATCTACATACAAAACAATAATATCTGTTTATTCTTGGAAAAATGGACTATAAAAGGTGGAAAAAAATTAAGAGAAGTGGAGGTTTTAGACGAAAAGTAAGCAAGATATATGCACAATTGAAACAATCAACATTTACATTGACTGCAACCACGGGTGAAGTACAATCAAATAAAATTAGTATGGGTTCCGTAGAAAAAAATAATGTCACGATTGATGATGAAATTGGTGAAACGTCAACTAGTGAAATATTTCCTCGTTCTAAAAACATCTCCGCTGGTATAAACTCGGATCCAGACAGTAGTGATAATAAAAATGACAATAATACAATGAGACAAGACAATGGCAGTTCGGAGTTCGAAGACGTTGAACATATAAATGATGAATTTTGGGCAAATATTAAAGAATGGGCACTCCAATTCAATATACCGCATGATACCTTACGAAAATTGTCAACAATATGTAATAAAAGAATTCCATATTTGCTGCCAAGAGATCCTCGTACTATTTTGAAAACGAATATATCAAAGATTAAAATATTTGCTGTTGGCTCTGGATTATACTGGCATAACGGATTAAAAGAACCTTTACAAAAATGTTTTGAAATAATTGATTTCAATTTTGATGTTTTAAGTATATTTTTGCTATAAAGGTACCATGACATACATACTTAAGCTACATCAATGTCAAAGTGGTCACCACGACGCATGTACACGGAGGACATTGTTTTTTAGACCTAAGTCAGTTAGTGTGATCGCGTCCAGCGTTTGTTGTAGAGCTATCCCCACTTCACAGTTATGCCCTTCTCAGAGGGGAATTCCCTTAACTTCATTAAACTAAGTCGATATTTTGTTAGATGTTACATACATTTATTTTGTTAATATGTATATTTAAATATAGAATTACCTACATTCTAAATTAATTAAACTTTGTTGTATTCTTAATAACAATAACAACATTCGTCACTTGGATAATGGTCATAAACTGGATATTTTAAGCAATTTGGGCACCAGAAAAATGAGCTGCGCAGTAATAATTTAATTCTTTTATCAGACAATAAAAAGTGAATTAATTTTGAACCAGTGTTATTGTTAATAATTGTACGACAAGCATAACATTTCCGCCTCATTGAAAAATGTGTTTCCTTCCAAGGCCATTTCGATTTTTTAAGTTGTTTAAGATTACCCTTCATTATGAATTTATCTACATCCAAATAGACCATCATTCTATTATCACCTACAAAAAAAGAACAACTTAATTAACAAAAAGGTACTCTCCTACAAAAAAAGACTTCTTAATTAACGAATTGTAATTATAAGGCTAAACTTACAAAATATCTACTTAGTATTTAGTATCAATATTACACCTTTTGTTTAAAAAAGTCACTGATATATTTCAGTTATTTATCACTAACAATCACATCACACTACTCTTGTTCAAATAACAATGGTTAACATTTTGCATAAAGGAACCCTAATCTAACTGCAAATGGCGTTTCTAAAAGTCATCAAATAGAAACCTCATTTGACTAAAAGTTGAGTAAACGCTGTAAGAAGGTAAATTAGAAGCTAGTAATGGCGTATCAATTCTCCTATTAAATTTATATTATTTGTTATTTATTAATTACGAAGAAATCTTGTGGCCCATGAAAATATTATTCAAAATGTAATATATTACACGAAAAATTTAATTCCCCATATGAAAGTAGGACCTATAAACTAACTTTCACATATTACTAATACTTCATGTCATGTGGCTGTAAAATGTAATATGGCAAAATATTTACTTTGAAAAAAAATTATTTCTTTTCTTGTAGGCACACTGCGTCAACGTTATTTTAAGACAGAAAACGGCTTTATGAGTGCTGCTTGGTTGCTTTCACACGATCAAAGAGTCGAGTGATTGCAACCCCACCACTTTATTACGATAAATAGGTCGACTAATAGAGCTCAAACCGACTTAGTAAAAGCTAATGTGTGATATAATGGCGTAATGACTTCTAATATAGGACTTTTAATATTCAAATTGCTTTTACTCTATATTCTTTCGAGTTTTTGGCTATTCAGCTGATTATCTTACGATATTTACAGCATTCATAGCCGAGAGAAGTGCGCCCAAATCGCGTCGAGTAAGCGTGCACAGATCATTTATACGACATATTAAAGATCCTTCACTCCACCAACAGCTGAAATAGAAACGTGCTGCTGGCTTTTTTACGATAACATTTGCTAGTTGGGTAGGACACAGAAGAAAAAAAAGCAAATGAATGCCGCCTAACGAAAGACAAATACATGTGTAAATAGCTGTATAAATTTGAATTTGGAATTTCCAACCAAGGAGGAGAAATTTGTGATTAAAGTGGCCAGTACGACAAAACGCCAATTTTTTCCAAAAAGTTCTATCGTCAACAAAGTTTGAGAACCGCTGTTGTAGTCACTTGCACTTGCGCGTGGGAGGCTTTCGTTGACCTTGACCCAGCTCCAATCCCTGACATTGACAACGCAATGACCTCATATCGAAAGCAACGCAGCTACAAAACAAACCTTGCCTTTCTCCGGTTCATAACGAAATAACTGAAATGTTTCCGAGTGGCAGACGAACAAGTCGTTTGCGAGTGTAGCGTGTGAATTAAGTGAATTTTATATATCAGTTTAAAGTTGTGTAAACAAATCGATTAAGTCTCACTACGTTGTATGGATTGTTGACCTTGATTGAATGGGGTAAGTGTAAAATATCAATAATTAACATAATTTTATCCTGTAGAAATTTAATAGCAATACGATTTATGATTTGTGGTTTCTAAATTATAGTAGGCGATACACGCTTCATATTTCCGTCTGGGAGATGATTGGTACGCTACTTCTAAATCAATTTGATTGATTTTCAAAATCTTATATTCGAATTTTGGCTGGACATATATTAGTCTAAGTTTAAATAGTAAATTACGTAACTTTATATAATAACGATTATAATATTATTCCGTCGAGTGTAAAAGGTTGTTTTGATCAATGTTTACATATTTTATACAACAAAACATCATAACAGTACATTTTTTTGATGACGCAGGGGAAATTTGACTTATGCCTGTGCTTATGCTTTAAACTAGAGCTCGACACCTTGTCCTCAAAAATTTTAAGCGTAATTGGCCTACCTGGTAAAACCCGCTGCTTAATACCCTCAAATATCCAGGATCCAGCAAATAACCCCCCGGATGCATTAAAATAAAATAAATGAAGAAAACATCACATACACTGCTCAGATTTCTAAGATGAATAGCTAAAGCCTCCGGTATTATTCAGTATCTGAGGCCACAAAGGTATCACAACTATAAAAGTACATTTTCAACATTGTCTCGACCGGGAACACTAACTTAAGGATAGTTTTAGAGTTTAGTTTATTTATTTAGTTTTCGAGGTTTCAGCCATGTAACTGTATATTGACGAATAGTCAGAGTGTAGGTAAAGTATTATGTGAAAATTGCCAGTGTTTACACCTATTTATTTAACGCAGGGGAATGCAACTCTGAACCAAGGCTCTCCGACCCCGAACCTGTCCTGAAAAAGACAGGTTTAATCTGGTTGGGGGAAGGACCAATATGACCACCGGGTCACCAATGTTCACCGGGGTAGTAAGGCTATTTGCATTAATTATAAGGAGACAGGAAGTACGTGGAATCAGTTTTTCTATACTGATATTATAAAATGAATAGATTTTATTGTTGTTTTGATCTACGGGTATAATTTACGCGTGCGAAGTCGCGGGAAAACAGCTATTCTCTAATAAAAATCTAAACAGTAGTTACACTAAACAGTAATAACTGTGAGTGGTTTGTTAATAAAAGTGTTTTGGTATCAGCAGCTCTACTCCATTCCTTTCAGCCCTCATTGATCTATAAAAAAAAAAAATCCTGGATGATCCTCTTATTCTGACAAATCAACTTATGAAAAAGCAATGAAGCTTTAATGTTGAAACACCGATGTGTTTTGATTGTTGTATTTTAAAAGAATCGCGTCGCAGTTCCCCGGGTTGTGAAAGATTGTGGGTTTGAGGCGCATCTCGGGGAACCAGGGTGCGGATTTTTTTAAACATTTTTCATTAATGATATTAAGGTATCAGTATAGCATTGGGAATGAAAAATTTATCAAATATCATAATCAAATATATCGCGTATTTAATAGTACTGTACCGCGGAAGTCGTTAATTAATTATGTAATACCTACTACATAAATACCATACTTTGGTATGTTTTAATGTTTGCAGTAACTTCGCTATGTCATGCGATCATATTATTAGTTGACATCACACACATTAATTGAGTCGTTACATATCCTAAGCCTAAGTCATAGCTAACCAATTATGAAACTGTGTTACTTGCTGCTACCTGAATTTATCTAGTGACTTAAAGTAGAGTGCAATATTACCTATATAAATTTCGATATATTATCCACGGATAACACTGCGGAAAAAAGATGTTTACTTTTAACTGATAGATTTTTAAATAATCCTGTTTTTATTTTATTACAGCTGTGGTGGCTGTGGTTATATATATCGACTCGATTTGCTAAGATAAATAATAATCACACAACTTTTAGAAGCTTGTAAAAGTCAAAAAAGATATACCCTAAAATATATAAGCTTCTTGATTCATGGAATAGGTTTTAGGATGTCCATTTGACCATTGTAATTTGGCTGCTATCACATTAGAGAAAGTAACTGAAGCGACATTATCGATGCAAATTGTAAATTTTCGAACATTAATTAGAGTTTAAAATCATCATTAAACCATATCGGACGTTTGTGTAACTAGGTCTAACTATCACCAAGACGTGCACCATTTTATTCGTAATAATGATGAATTACAGGATTGTTTACTTGTTTCTTAGGTTTTCACATACTACTCACAAGAAATAAAAATAAAAAAACAATTTATAAATACTAAACCGTCTTCAAAAAATCTTAATACAGAGAAGCAACTAAACCTTGTAAAAACTAAACTTATAAACAATCCGAAATATATAATATGGTAAAATAGTTTTACCAAAATTCTATAATCACTATTCTCTTACTTATGGCACGCGATGCTTATTGGAGAATTTAATATTGCCGTAGAAGGATTACAGGGGTGGGTCTCATGAGCGCGTTAACTACTCATTTGTTTGGAAATTTTTAGTTCTTGATAAATTACCACTGCTGGTAATTATCAAGAAGAATCTGGTGCGCTGTGCCTGTTCCCATACTAAAACCTCTGGTTTAATAAGTATTTGTGGCGACTGATACATAGCGACATCTAATTCATCGCAGTAACATCGCCACAACAATCGATAGCGAGAAGACAAGCATCGTCACAGCCATCGATAGCAAGACGAACTGCAATAAGTTTCAACAGCAAGTAACGAGATGGCGCTGCACCAATACAAACAGCATAAATTAATAACTACAAGACATTTAGAACAAAGAAACCTACATCACACAGAATAAGTTTAATTACCAATTAACATAAATAGAACGTCCAACCTACATCGGTTGGACCGCGGTCCCCGGGCTAACAACACCTAGCTCGGAGGGAGACAATTATCCTTTAGTCTCCCTTGCCAGTTGTCTCCATCACCACATTAGGGACCCCCCACAGTAGGGACCACACCTTCAATCTTACGGTTCCTAAAGTGGTGACCCCAGCAGAACATCAGCAACCTTCAGCATCACAACGCAGCCATCACCCTTCATCATCAGCCTCTCATCCCTCATCAGCACAGCCACTTCAGCAGCAAGACAGCCAACACCAAGGTCCATCACAGCAGCATCAACGGCGCTTCCTGGATACTTGGCACCACTCGACGGCATCATCCCGACCTGGTCCTCGCAGCCCACGACTGGACCTCAGTTCACACACAACTCACCGGCGTGGCAGCCCTGCACACCAGCAGCTTCGGTCCCGACGTCACAACCATGGCACTTGCAAGCTCTGAAGCACTGACTGCATACCACCTACTATCAACATGGATCGACCTTCGGTCTAGGGGGAAAGTACTGTGGCGACTGATACATAGCGACATCTAATTCATCGCAGTAACATCGCCACAACAATCGATAGCGAGAAGACAAGCATCGTCACAGCCATCGATAGCAAGACGAACTGCAATAAGTTTCAACAGCAAGTAACGAGATGGCGCTGCACCAATACAAACAGCATAAATTAATAACTACAAGACATTTAGAACAAAGAAACCTACATCACACAGAATAAGTTTAATTACCAATTAACATAAATAGAACGTCCAACCTACATCGGTTGGACCGCGGTCCCCGGGCTAACAACACCTAGCTCGGAG